CCTCCACACATACGGGGAGAAACTTGTTATAAAAGTTAAAGTAGAGTCCAAAATACAAAGCAAGCTTCCAAAGTTGGTTCGTCTGCTTACAAGTAAACTCACAAGTTAACTTCAAGTTGCAGCGGCGGCGGCGATTTCTTGCTTCGCCGAAGCGAAGGCGTCCTGGATCGCGGAGAATCCTCGGGGCTCCGGAGGAGTTTTCACCTACATCGTCCATATAGGACGACTCGGGAACTCAACTCCTACCCCGGGCAGCTCACCGATCCCCTTATGCCCAGGGGAAAGGTATCAAGCCGTTTGACAGCAGATGCTGGCTGTCAAACCGGCTTTTACGCAAAACAGGCGGGAGGCAGCAAACAGCTGCGACCAGCGAAATCGCCTGCCACCGGAAGTCACTTTTAGGCAATCTCTCCTATTCCTGATCTGTTTATTTCACTTCTTCCCCTCCAAGCAGAGAGAAATTACAGGTGAGTAAGCAGACAGACAGTGGAGAATACACTGGCTATTTGTGTAGTGCATTTGGGACTGCTTGTTTTTGATGTGTATTGGTCATTGTGTGCCTGCTTACTCTCTTGTAATCCCTTCCTCTCCAATCTCTCTGCTCTGTAAGGGACAGTGGATGAGAAAAAGTATCATTCAGCCACAGGACAGTGCATACTGATTGTAATGGTGATCGCATGACTGACGAACTGTAAAGGTTGTAAATGTGTGCCTTGATTGCAGAGTTATTTTTTCAGCACTATCATAACTTCAAATGGTCATTGCACAAGGCAGCTGGTAAGCAAGGTCTATATTAATATATAGGGTATTTTTCACCTGACTGTTCATTTCTTAGCCCCACTCTTTGAATGTGGTCTTCAGCATACTACCCAAGATAGTGGTTTCCTGCCCCATTTGAAATATATTATTAAGATGATCTGATCACCACTCCTGAGTCTTAAGTATGTCTTCGTTAAAAAAAAAAAAGTAAATGCCTCCAAAATACTTAGGAGATGAACGAATGTATAAGATATTTAATAGCGACTATTAACAGTATTACATAAATTAATATAAAAGCCAAATGGCATTTGCTGGATTCCAACAGATCAATGCATATATTTTAGTAAATAAACTGAAAACTTGATTGTCAGAAGCCTTTAAAGGTGGATAGTTTTAAAGACCAGAAAAGCTTACAAAATAGGGGGGGGGGAGTATTTATTTATTTTGTACTTACTGTGTTGCCAAAAAAAGCGGAGGTGGGGAAAGAAAGAAAGAGTGATTTGCACAAAAACTGCATAGTGAGTGCTTGCCTGCCTTTAGCTTGGTAAATGCATATCTTCACTTTTGAGAATTGTGAACGATTAGCATAGCCTTAAGAAACAACATCTCTGCAGCTACATACTGTTCTAGAATTTTTACAAGAGCGTTGCTTTGTATAAAGTAAATAATAAGGCTTTTCTTGCTTGCTTTCCCCCCCCCCCCCTTTAAATCTACAGTTAGCTATAACTCTCTAATTGAAACAGCTCTGAGGACATTTTAGAAAACACTGGGCATCAGGAATGTTTAACACTTGTCTGAAAACCCATCAGGGGCCATTCCACCAGGTGCAATAGCTGTTTGTTTGCCTCTTTCTTCCACCTCCCCTTCTTTTCAATCTTGGCAGATAGGCTATTAAAAGTGTCAGCATTTTCTCTGAACTTCTACACACACCTACATTACTATACAGGAGAAGAGTAAAAGGCTGTTGAAGGTGCATTCATATTCAGTAAAACATAGTTGGCTTACATATTATTCAAAGGGATGGAAAGAAGTAAAAGTTATCAGGATTAACTAGCTCAGCAAAAGGAAATGTTTTGGTAAATAGTCAAAAGTGTATTAAAAACAACAGCCCAGCGTATGAAATAGTGCATCTTAAAAAAAAAACCTCAAGTGCTAATGTATGAAATGGTGCTACTGTAGAAATATTTTATAATGGAACAGTGTTTCTCTTTCAATTACATGACATAATAATAGGAGGTGATGCAGGTAAACAATGTTGCATAGGGAGGTTACACCTAATTACACCTACAAAATGGACATACATTTAAAGTACCAAAGGAAGAATTAGCTGATAGGAAATGAGTTACCATTGTGATTTTAAAGCTAAAGTTAACAGGACATCTTACTTGTTCTCCTAGATTTAAATACTGTTGATCAGGAAGTATTTGCACATTTGCCATATAATGCTATTTGGATTTTTTTTTTTTAAAAAAAAATCTATGTTGTATTGATCTGCAAACAAATTATAGTAGAGAACTATTCATTAAAGGATAAGAATGCACTTAAGTTTCCATCCATTTTCATATCTTCAAGTCTTCATATTTTATTGTAATAGATGGCAAAACAATTCCTTATAGGACACACCCAAGAGGTCACCAAGAGCCAAAGTTGATTGTAGGGATTTACATCCTAATTGTGAATTAAATCACCAGAAAGGAATCTAAATTATTTATGCATATCCTTGCTAAGTCTAGATAGAATTATTTTAGTGCAAGTAAAATAATTTTAATATATATGGAAATCAGTCATTTTTATGTTTATTTATAATTTTCTCTGGCATATGTTTTATATCTAGTTTTGACTAATCAATGCTAGGTCTGCTCATCTGCCTCACTTCTTCTTGGAGTAAGTGGTGACCTCAAGAACCAAACACCTATATATTTCACAATAGTTTTTATGGAAAATATATACTGGCAGACTTCATTTGCACCCAAATGAAATGTAGCATCCCTTTCAGATTTGCATGGCCTCAATAAAAATCATGTTTCAAAAATTTATACATGTATATTATGCCATATTTCTAAAAATAACTGTGTGGTTCTATAAAGCAGGTGGCTGCACAATCAGAAATTTGCTTCTACATTAGTAACTAAACCCTAATGGCTGATCAGTGTGGTGCAACCTCTTCCTTTCATACTGTATCTCTGCCCTGCATACCATGATCTTAAGTCCTATTTATAGGAGATAGGAGTTGGGGACAGTTTTATGAGTGAGTCCAAAGAAAACACATGTGCTGCTATTTCCAATAGAGTTGTTAGAGTTGTTGATTTCACTGTCAAAAATAGAAGTCAGGAAAAAGATCATTGTTTTTCCCTTAAAATGAACTAGATCCACTTAGTGGATTAACTAAGTGCCAGTTGTGTTTTTGTTATGAATCACAAAATTATAGCTTCATGATATGTTTTGAATGAAGTCCCATCAGGATGCAGCTCAAATTTAGCTTTCACTTAGGTTTCCTGAACCCAATGGAGGGAGTTTTGGAATGGATATGAGCAATTCAATTGAAAGTTAATAATAACAGGAAGACAGATTGCTTAATATTGGGAATAGCAAAACCAACAATTCAGGTTGAAGATTTACATAATATGACATTGCATTTCTGGTAAAGGAATCAAACAACGAATCAGCGAACACCTAGAGGCAAACAAAGTCATTACTAAAAGCCAACATGGGTTTGTCAAAAACAGATCCTGCCAGACAAATCTTATCACATTCTTTGACCAAGTGACAAAATTAGTGGATCAGAGGAATGCTGTGGATATAATTTACTTGGACATCAGTAAGGCATTTGATAAATTACATCACAACCTACTACTTGATAAGATAGAAAAATTTGGGTTAGACAGCATCACCACCAGATGGATCTGTAGCTGGCTGACCGGCCGTACTCAGCGTGTGGTCCTCAATGGAACCGCATCTACATGGAGGGAAGTGTGTAGTGGGGTGCCCCAGGGCTCTGTTCTGGGCCCAGTGCTCTTCAACATCTTCATCAACGACTTGGACGAGAGGATAGATTGGGAAATCATCAAATTTGCAGATGACACCAAGCTGGCAGGGATAGCTAACACTCCAGAAGACAGGCTTAGGATACAGGAGGATCTGGACAGACTTGAACACTGGGCACTATCTAACAAAATGAAATTCAATGGTGAAAAAAGTAAGGTTCTACATTTAGGCAAGAAAACCCAACTGTACAGGTATAGTATAGGGGGTACCTTGCTTAATAGTAGTAACTGTGAGAGGGACACTGGAAATTTTTAAGAAGAGACTGGACAGCCATTTGTCTGAAATGGTATAGGGTTTCCTGCCTGAGCAGGGGGTTGGACTAGATGACATCCAAGGTCCCTTCCAACTTTATTATTATTATTAAATGTACTTTGGGAATTCTGAAATTGTCCTTTATTGAAGAAATCTAGGAGCAGTAGTGGCCCACATAATTTTTAAGCTGGTAAATCAGGTATGATTCTATCTGGAGTAATTAGAAGTTGGCCCAGTTATGTAAGCACAAGTGACATCCAGTGAAAATGACAATAATCAACTATGGGCCTGCTATTAATGATTATTCAGAAATTTTGGTTAGTGTAGAATGCAACCATCTGGATGTTGCTTGAAGAAAAACAGTTGGTTTATGGGATACCTGTGTTGCACCAGCTGTACCGTGTTTCTAAGCTAACATTTAAAATATGTTTAACCTTTAACTCTTTAACCAATTTAAGGGAAAGTTATTTGAAGGACCATTTCTGCTGGTAACACCATAACAATCAGATCACTAAGGTCAGCAATAGGATTTTCTCTGAAGCTGGTCGGATTTGAGGACACAAGGGAATAGAGCTTGTTGCTTCTTACCTCTGGAATGGGCTAGGAGAAGAAAATTGACTCTAAAGACTTGCATTGCCATGGACTTTGCTTAAATCAGGGCAGAATGTCATTTTTTAAAAAAAAAAACAACAATATTTAAAAAGCCAGCTGTTTTATTTTCACTAGTTTTGACTATTTGTTGTTATTATTGTTATCTAAATTCTGTCTTGGGAGAGACTGTAATCTGAAACAAAGATTCATATTGTTTTAAATAAATATGATGCTTCCATTCTAGCGCTTGGGAATTACAATTTCTCAAAACCCTGAAAATTTGGGGACATTCATTTTTTTTTCTGTGTTTCAATAGCCATACTCCATATTCCAGTGGAAATATTACTTTCAGTGTTCTTAGTCCGGAACCAAATCATCGGCCAGGATATAATGATTTCTACAATACACCATTACTTCAAGAGTTTGTCAAAGTCTCAAAAATTAAGATTCATCTATTTGACCAGTATCACACTACTATGCCCTGGGTTAATTTTGGACATAGATACTATGGAATTGATGAAATTACAATCAGTGGGAGGTAAGTTGTGTAACATTCCTATTAAAATTGAGTTTTGGGATAAAAGATCACCACAGTATTATATACATGCAAATGAGAATGTAGTCTTATGGCTGTGTGCAGTGTTTTGGACACAAAGTAAAAAAAATGCTTTGCAACAAGTGGGGATATGAATATAGCCCCTATCTATCTTGAAAGCAGTCACATCTTTTCCTGGGAGAAAGTACATGCCATCCTCAATTGCCACACAATCTCAGGGAAAAAAATATGTTTGTATAAGGAATTGCAGACAGCTCTGAAACATCTTTTTCACTTTAAGATTTGAAACACTATGCAGCCTTATATAATATAGCACTCCAGTGTTGATTTCGAATCTAAAATGGCTTGACTAATTTCCATCTTTCATATTTCATTTATCAATAATGTTTAAATTTTGGATTTGATCATTCATATGAAGAGGTATATCTGCTTTAAAGTGAATCTACCATATTTTCAATTTTTATTATAGTGTCTCATCTATGGCAGTTGTAATGGGCTTAGTAATGAACAAAATTCTTTGTCTTGGCTAGTTTTTCTTCTTAAAAATGAGGCTTCTGTCAGCAAAAAAAATGTTATGTTAGCTATGACTGACAGTTTTATTGTATATGGTAAGTCACAAGTCTGGTTGAAGGCATAATTACACCCTGTAAATAAAATGCAAATTAAGTAATGGCTGGTCTCCAGTGAAAGATGTGTTATTTTTTTTTACAGCTTGGGAATTTATGTTTAAGAGAAAAATACAATAAGTCAGACTTCTTTAGGGAGAAAATTTTATCTATTGTTATTTGAATACAGTATTTATTTTATTATAATTTCAGTGTAATATTTCTTTTAATTATTTTAACTGAATTTTGGAGAACTAGGACACTATCTTTGAATAAGTGAATTAAATAAATATAATTTTTGTTCTATAAATGAAATGTCTATATAGGTGCACATTTTCAATGGGATTTGGGGATACTGACAATAAAAGAATAGTCTCAACAAGTAATCCACATAATGAATTGTTCTGAAACCCCACTGAAATCCAATTGAAAGATGCAGTTAAATATGTTAATTTCTTTGGAACTTAAGCATGACCAATTTTATTAGGATTGTACAATTATAAACACAAACAGTCCATGTATAGTTAGCAAGTAAACAATAATAATTGACCTTTCCAGTAGCTTTTCCCATTCACTCAAACTGGATGGTGTGTTCCATGATATACTGTATGTCCAGATAGCAGTGCAGATGGAGACATCTTATTGTTGTTGTTTTTCACATTAGCAAGGATTGAATTATCTATTTATCTTGAAATACATAATTAAACATAATTTAATCTATTTTAAGGATTTTTCATTATGTAATTAAAGCCTATATTTACCTTCAGCTGTCATTTTTTTCCTTACTACAATTTGTTGCAGTAAGTAAATAAAATATATTGCCATTTGTGCTATTAGTAGAGTTATATTAGCATATATCATTACCAGTTGTATGCCTTATTTGGAATTTGGCACCTATAGAAAATACAGAGCTATAATTAAAATTGTTATTACTTCTAGGTCTTGTTCCATGAATATGTAGCTTGAAAAGAGAGCGTTTCATCAAAAACTGTGAAAATAAATTGAAGGAAATAATGCATTTAAGAAGTTGTGAAATTACAGATGGAAGGGTTAATGTTGAAAACACAGGTGTTAACTCTAATTAATAATTAGGGTTTTGCATCTACACAGTACATAATGAAAGCACATAATGTGCATTTGATCACTTAATAGTTGGTCTGCAAGATGTCCTGTCAATTTATTCCCTTTGAAAGCAGCACATATTTGACATTTATAAATGCTGAATCAAGAGAGACATGGAATAGTTTCTACACTTAATTGAGCCTTTTCTGAGATGGTTATCTTTAACAGAAGCAGACAGTTACATTCATGACAATGTAAAAACAATAACTGGAAGGTGCCCTTTCAAATTATATATCACCCTTATCCAATACGTTGCCCTCCAGGTACATTGTTACTGCAAGTTCTGGAATTCCTAGTCAGTTTTGCTTTCTTTTTTCTTCTCAAAAGCTGTATTGTTTTACAGATGTAATTGCTTTGGCCATGCTGATCATTGTGACACAAGTCATAGTCCATACAAATGTCTCTGCTCCAAGGAAAGCTACACAGAAGGCAACAATGTAAGTTTTATTCCAATATGTGCTTCACCTCAAATCCCAATTTTCAAAATCTGAGGTTTAGATTTAGAATCTTGTGAGACAATGATTCGTATTGGATTTTAATTCCATTAGCTTCTTGCTACTTCAAATAATCCCATTAATGAATTCCACAACCAGCAGGAAGCTTTCCAGATGCTGATCACAAAATGGAAATTTTAAAAAGTATCGTCTTTGATATTGTTGGCCAAGTGGTTCAGAAGGGGTAAGAATTTTGTTTGTTTGTTTAAAAAGGATATGTTTTAAGGAAAACCTTTATGTTTTTATAAAGGCAACCTGGATATAATTAAAATCTTTATTTGGTATCTTTTTTAACATTTGGTGAAAAATGTGTTTCAGGGGAAAAGAATTATTGGTGCTCAATTACTGTGACTCAAAAAGGTTTGTGGACAGAAATTAACACACTGTGTTAATCTCACACTGTGATATTTAACATACATATTTGTCTGTACAACTTCAGACATGAAATTTGAACACAGATCTTGTCCCATTCAGCACCGAGAGGAGTGTTTTTGAATAGTAAAGGCACAACTGCTTCACCAAATATTACTGTAATTGAAGAGAAAGGAAGAATTTGTTAGAGCAGCATTCAAAACCATTAACCAAAAGCAAATATTTATAGTATGCAAAGGGCAGGAGGTGTTCGAAGGGTGAGAATTGTATGAAAATTGATGTTAATTGTATATGAATGCCAAACATTAGTTTATGATCTTTATTAGGAGCTCTATTACGGATAGCAACAATTACACAGGTAGTAAATTGAAGTTACCAAGTAATTACATTTTTTGTGCATTAATCAAATCTGGTACAAACTTATCTACAATGAGTTCTTTTTCTATGAGAAAAGTAGAACCTCACTAGGGAGAGCAGCTAAGGATATCTCTTATTGTTTTTCTATTCTAAAGCAGGGCTTTTCAACCAGTGGTACGGGTACCACCTGTGGTACATTAGCACCTGGCAGGTGGTACGTGACCATGCTAGAAAAGTGGTAGCGGGGGAGGGAAATGAGCTGAACCGGTGGCAGCACTGCACAAGCCTGAGCGAGAGATGGCTGGAGCTGCAGGGCTGTCAGGGCTCAGCGGAAGTGCCAGGATCAGTGCCGCTTTCCAGCTGATCGGCGCTTCTTCGGAGCTGTCAGGGCTCAGTGGAAGCGCCAGGATCAGTGCCAGGCTCCAGCTGGAGCTCGGCACTGATCCTGGCGCTTCTGCTGAGCCCAGAAGAAGTGCCAATCAGCTGGAATGTTGCAGCATCTCCAGGATCTTATGATTTACATTCAGGTGCTTGGCAACTGATTCATATTTATGACGGCCACAGTGTCCCAGAGTCATGTGAAGTGACCAAAACCTGCTGCAACCACCCAGCAGATGGGGGTGAATAAAAACCAAACACCCCCCATCCCACCCCTACTGACAATCCTCAACAGAAATGCTCACAATAATGAAAATCTCGGACAGGAGGAAGAGCGCCACTGGGTGGGCAGGCAGGTGTCTTGCTCAGCTGTGGCTTCGGGGGCACTTTCTCAGTGCTATTGTAACTTTGAACAGTCACTAAGCGAACTGCTGTAAGTTGAGGACTACTTGTTCTTTTTGGGGGGGGTCATCAAGTTTTTGACACCTTGCTAGGCGACTGGTGGTACTCGGATGTTGCCATATCCTAAAAGTGGTACGGTGGGTGAAAAGGTTGAAAAGCCCTGTTCTAAAGTATACCCTAAGAGAGGGTAAGCACAAGTATTCCCTCAAAGCAGCACAGTCATCCAGTGAGGTTCATCCTTTCATAGCTTACTGCCATGAGGGATTTCTGCTCTTGCAGCGAATATAGATCACTGGGATAGGTCTACAAAACTATTCATGTCTTCAGATTATTAGACCACAAAGCAGAGGAGGCAAGCCATCACTGAAATCTTATTATCATTGCAGTAACAACTCTACCAAGATATAAACAATCTTGTCTACTTCAGTTTATTATGGTCAATCTGTCCTGGAATCTTAATATCTGGTGCTCGTGAGCATCTCTAGCTCATACTTTTCAAAGAGGGGGAGGATTTGTTCCCCCGTCTTGTACATAACCCGTGCTCTGCACAATACTCAATCCTGTGCCACGTGCAGTACTTACAGCAGAAAGATACAATTCTTAATAATTATTTTTCCATTCAGTTGCATCTATCAATTTATATATACAGGAATAATTTACATAGGAACTATATATAGGATAGTTCCTATATATACATAGGAACTATAATTTATATAGTTTAATTAACAGTTAATTTTATAAGCTTTTCGGAGCTGTGGTGGAACAGTGGTTAGAATGCAGTATTGCAGGCTAATTCTGCTGACTGCCAGAATTTGATTCTCACCCTATTTGAGTCGTGCTGGCACAGTGGTTAGAATTTACTTTAATATTGCAGGCTAACTCTGCTCACTGCTAGAGTTCGATCCTGACTGGCTCAAGGTTGACTCAGCCTTCCATTCTTCTGAGGTCAGTAAAATGAGGACCTAGACTGTTGGGGGCAATAGGCTGACTCTGTCAACAGAGAGGCGATATATAAGTGCTATTGCTAACAATCACCTTAAATAACCACAGTGCAAATGTTCTTAATTCAGAATGATCAATGTAGTAAGTTTTATCCCAGGTAAAGTGGAAAAAGAGCTTAGTGCTAGCCAACTCCTCTCGCACCAAGTTAAAAGTTGATTAGAAGGTGCTGGAAGCTGAAGGACATTTTGGGAGAAGACTGATGACTAGAAAGCAAGCCTCTCTCAGGAATCTCCTCTCTGTCCTGTTGGCAACTTTTTCTAGCATCTCACAAAGTCCAGGGTTTTTCAAAGGAATTTGACTCTACTCTGAGTTCTGGTTCAGGATTGGGCCTAGTAAACATCCATCCATCTTTAGAGCTGTTAAGATTGTTCAGAGCAGCCCATTTAGTATCTGACAATGGCCATTTCCCAGAGTAGGAACAATTCTTGTCTTACTTTCTTCCTATGATTTACATTCTTCACATCCTATTGTTTGTGTGTGTGTGTTTCCATGTGTGGGTGTGTTTTATTTAAACAATGTATATGTCCATAATCACATCAGTTACTCTTGGCAATGAATGGGATTACAACTGAAAGACAACACAATACAATTTGTTAAAAAGAAAGAAACAACTCTCAATATAACACATTCCACATCTAAAAGCATTCCATATTCACAATCGGTAAAAATAAAAAAGACAACCAAACTAATCAACTAGCAGGACTTGCTTAACAACTTGGTCCAAATACCCAAAGGAAGAGCAAAGCTTTTAATGCCTTGAAAAATGCCACTGGTGTTGTGGCCATTTGGATTTCTGGAGGGAACTTGTTCCACCAGGTAGGGACTGCTACAGAGAAGGCAGTTTCCTCAGATCCTACAAGAAACAGAGTATTTAGTGCAGGGGTATAGTGCAGGCTGGATGCATTATGCAGAAGCCACACCCACCCCAGCTCCGGCAATGTGAAAAAAGTCATGATACATCGCGACACATCACGTGATATAGCGAGTTTGACACCTGTGATTTAGTGCATCAACACTGGGGTCTCAGTCAAACCTAGTTTCTACATAGGAATCTTTGAAGTTGCTTATAGTTTAAATTTTTGAATTAAGTCCATTGTAAACATATAAGCAAGGTCTGATTTGTTTATTTTTTTTATTTCTTCCAAAAGTCTTAAGATTCATCTCCCCCCCCCTTTTTTTTTCTTCACAGGATTTTTTAGTATCAATTATCAAAAGTAAAGCTTTAAGGTGAATAACAATCTTAAGAAGAAAACACTGAATTATGTTTTATACAATGTGCGGTATTATATTTAGTCTGTATGGGTTTTTGTTGGGAAATTAAAATAAGTCTCAGTTGCAAGGATCTTAGAATAGAAAAAAATGCAGCAGTATAAAGAAAACAGTGAAAAGGAAGGGGAGACCTCATTCTTGTTTTTAATATGACTGAAGCATTCAGTTAACAACACTAAATGCCTTATAGGATCTTTTCTGAAGTCTTATTATAGAATGTCTTGGAAGATTTGTATTGTTCATATCTTTTATTAAGCTGAAAATCAGTTTATTCCAGTTAAAGTGTGGATAGTCAAATCCTTTTCCCCCTCTTATTTGATTTCCTACTGTTGTTTGCTGAGGCTGTAGTGGTTGTGGCAGTGCCATGCCGTTTGCTGCTGTTATTTGTTTAAAATATTTTAAACTGTTTCTATACAAGTTTGAGTGCATCTTTTTGGGCAAATTACTAAATGAATAGCTAGGGTGCAAAGATAAAACTGGATTACTTCCCTCATCTCAACATACCCATCCATTTACAAGTGTTTCATTAATTCATTCATTCGTTCATTTGTTCGTTCGTTCGTTCATTCATTCAATGCTTTATGGGCTCAAGATTTTGCAAGAAACAACAAAGCAAAAGTGCGGCAATTCTAAATGCTAAATGTGATTTTGGTTATCGTAGGAAATCCAGTGATTTCCCTGTTCTTCTGTTCAGGTCTCTTGAGTAGCTTTCTTCTGATAATAAGTTCACATGAACTCAATCCTTGTGTTAAATATAGAATTACTGGTGAGCATCCCCTCCCTCTTAAATCATGTTTGGGATGTGGCTCACAAGCCAATCTTCATGGATACAGTCCTATTGTCTATAGACAATCATTGTATATCTTTGAATAACCAGCTATTTATTGACAATTCAGCATATCTTTACAAAGTTGAGGAGCTGCTTAGTTTTATGTTCAAAGGTATTGCCTGAACAGGCATTGTTTGTGGTAGATCGAGAGAGAGAGAGAGAGAGATAGTAATTGTTTACATAGGGGAGTAATTTTCAGATTTTGTGGACTGCCAAATTAATTCAGTAAGTGTATTTATAACACCATGCTTTATCTGTGCACCCAAAAGTTGGGAGCCTTGAATGTACATTTCCTTGCAGAATTTGATTATGTGGAATACTTTTCTTTTCTTTG